CATGCTAGGACTATTAACACGTATATTTCAGAATCAGAAATCTATCAGGGTTTCATGTTATCCATATAAACATTTTCTGTCAACAAAATCACTAAGGACATACTCTCCTTTCACGAATGTGAAAAATGTAGAAGAGAGGAGGATAAATCTGGGAATGAAAGCAGTACACACCAAGTGGTAACGAAATGTAGGTTTGTGTTTGCTGACTGTATAGTTCTGGGGATGAAGCTACGTGCTTAGAATGATGGCAAAATACTATGTACTATACTATATATTGGTTCAGCAAAGCCATGTTAAACAGATGAAGTGAGAGAGATTTATGAAACAGATTTATTATAATGCTGCAGTTTTTTGTTTTTTTTAATAAATTGCTCTCTCTGCTTCTCTAAAGTAGTACAGTTACAATATAAAACCAATCCCTGACCTGTTCTTAATTGTGTGCTTTAAGTGAAAATGTGTCTCATCTCCTGTAGTAGTTCTGACATAGAGCTGTACTAAACTTTTCTAGTAGGCTGCCCAGGATTGCAGGCACAGGGGCGTTGCAAATACACATAAAAACTGTTGCGTAGACTTTGCAGAGAGGCAGCCTGATTTGCTTCTAAGCTTGCACGATAGATGTCCCCCATTGCATCACATTTCTATTATTGCCTGAGCAATAATTAGCCCAACTCATGGCAGAACTTTTTTCAGTTCAGTGAGTGCGGGAGTGTTAAAAGTCTTAACACATTTTTACTGCTGTCTGTGCCACAGTATGTGACATTTCTTCTCACTTCCTTTATTTGGGTCATTTTCTACCTATTTGATGGATGTTAGGCAGAATAGGAAGTAAGGGTAAATCCCTAAATAAGGGGCACAGCTAACAATAAAACATTTTAAGTAAAGTGTGAAATGTGTGGTGTCCAATTCCAGGCTATTCTAAAAAGGCTAAAAAAGGCTGTGAATGCAATACTCACCTTCAGGCCAGAGCTGTCCTCTGCAGTGCCTGTTATACGAACAAAAAATGATCAGTCTTCCTGGTTGAATGATGCCCACTATCACTCAACCTGAAAGACTGTGGAAAGATAGAGAGTGAAAGACATTATTGTCCTACTTCCTGAGGGTGTGTCCCCTTGGCTCCCTGAATCATCCAGAACGGGAGAGTAAAGGACCCAGTGCATTACATAACTGTACAGAGGACATTAAAAAAAGGTAACAATAACATTTAAAAAATATAACTTACTGTTAGGAGGGGCTCAAGGGGGATCCTCTGGGGGGGGACCGAGCTTGGGCTTTTTATGTATTTTAAGCTTAGTCACACTACTGAAATCGTTGATTATTGCTGAGAGTAGTGATTGATCTATCCAAAAATGGCTCCTATAGCATGTAGGGCCATCTAAGGATTAATCACACACAAGCTATTGGTTTAGCTCACATCATAGTATTTTATTCTAAGTAGTGATCAATTCCTGCTCTCAGCAATTAATCACTAGCAAGTTTAGGCCAGTCACATGAAAACGCTGAACAGTACTCCAAAAAGAAAAAAAATTAAGATTACTGTAATTACTACTGTGTCACGTATTTGAGTTCTGTTGCGTCTCACAGTTTGGCTTTAAACATCACCTATTCATCATGCTCTTCTTTTTCATACTTGCTCAACAAAAGCTATGGAACAGACGGAAGGGGTTTCTAAAGCACACGTTTGATGATTACCAAAAATGAGGAAACTCAAGTAAAATATTTTTTTTCCCTTTTTATTTAAAGATTGATGACTTACAAAATAATATTTTTATGTTGGTTAATGTTTTCTTTAGTTTGGAAACTGAATGAAACCCAGCAGATACATTTCCTCAGTCAGCAAGTATATTATACACAATGCTGGTACCTATTTTCTAGACATGTGCACTGCCAAAAAATTCGTTTCGTTTCGTTTTACATTCGGATTTGTGTTATTTTGTTTTTCGGGATTCGGGTGTGAAAGTCAATTCGGATTCGGACGAAATTCGGTAGCGTTCGCACGAACGTTCTTATTCGTTTTCTGTTCTTATTCGTTTCGTTCGTTTGCAGCAAAAGTGACATTTGAGGGGGAAAAATATTTTTCTCCTTCTCTAATGTCACTTTGCTCCAACGAACGAAACGAATAAGAAACGAATAAGAAACGAATATGAACAGAAAACGAAACGAACGTTCGTGCGAACGCTACCGAATTTCGGAAATGGAAATTCGGATTCGTTTGCATTCTTTATGTCTGTAATTCGGAATTCGGATACATCCGAATGTCCGAATTTCCGAAAATTCGTCCGAATTTCTATTCGGAACGAAACGAATCGCACATGTCTACTATTTTCTTTATTCTGAAAAGCCTTGATGTTACTGACATAGACTGAGGTCTGGACATGAGCTTACTCATGTCAAGATTATCAACCAATGAGGGCACACTGGCCAGGGCTGTGATCTCAAGAGCGTCTTGTCATGGTAACATATGCATCTTTCTCCGGCACAGGTAGTCACTCTTCTGAGCCTCTGCTGAGTTGCTGGAAAGCTTGTGTGATTACTGCGCATGTTCATTGAGGGAAGAAGCAGCATTTGAGGAAGGAATTGCTGGAAATTTACAAAGATTGCAGCAGCTTCAGCCCTTACAGGGGATATATTGCTATTACAAATGTATAACAGAAGAAAATAAAAAAATTGTACATATACATAGCCATATACTTTGGTTTATACAATGCTCCTAATAGGGTTCACAGATTTGTATTTTGTGTTTTAATGGCCTATAAGAAGATATTATCAATATTTTATTAAATGGATACAATGCCCAAACACAGATGACTTCCTGGTTAGATATGCTGTAGATAAATTCCTCAAATTCAGTTTATTTATCCTAAAATATTATACTACCAATAATAATATACTGCCCAGTAAAACTATATACAAGAGAAATATCACAAATACTAAATGGTAGTTTTTGTTATATTATGTAGGTTAGGGCCCAAATCTAGCCAAAACATTTTTCTTTTGTTTTGGGCAGAGTGGGGAAGGAAGTCTGTAGCTCTGTTGGGGCATTTCACCTCACTCTCTGTGGGGACAGGAAGTGAAGGAAAATCTGTCCACTTGGTACAAAGACTGCAACAAAAACATTTTTTCAATATAGAAAGCAAGTGATCTGTGACACCTTTTTTTGCATAATCTTATATTTTTTATCTGTTCACAGGAGTTCTATTTAAGTTCCTTAAGTTTTCTTTTTTCTGCAACTTTTTTCTCCATTTTCTCTTTCCTTTCCCCCTATTGTTTCCATTTTCCTTCCTTTTCCCTTTTCTCTGACCACTCTTCCCTTCCCCATCCTTTCCCTTCTCCGCTCCCCATTCCCCTTACTCTCCCTCCCTTCCTGCCCCTGCCCCCTCACGGCTTTTAGGCTTTTGTTTACCTATTTTCCCCATTTCAGCTTGATCTCTTCTTTTTATATATCTAGTGATTAATTTTTGCTTTATATATAGTTGATCTTTTCCTTTTCTTTGCTCGATATATCTTCAATATAATCTTTTGATTTGTTGGCTTTTCTTTATTATAGTCTGTTGGGTTTTAACATTAATTTTAAAAAAACCTATTGGTTTAAAACTTTAGGGGGGATTTTTCTATTGCCAGTTGTTCTTAATCAGTTTCGACAAGGACAGAAAGTGGGGTTTTGAGAGCACCAAAGGAACTTACTCCACAAAGAAATTCATATAAAAGAGTTAATTTTAATTACATTCATTAAAAACAAAGGCTAGATATACAATCCAAATTAAAATCAGCTAATTAGATAGCTCCCTGTGTGCTCTCTCCATATGTACCCTTCCTACAGCATGACCGAGCAGAAGACTCTGCCTGCTTGTCTTCCAAAATTAGGTCCTCCGATTACCCCTACGCCACCCACATCTACTACCGCTGCCTACCTGCCGCGTAGCTCGACCAGACCTGCCCAGACACATATACACACCAGAGCACATAAATTGATACCTCCTGTACCTGAAGACGTCGTATCAGCTCCTCCATTTATGAACCTCCACCAACTCCATACAGCATTTAAGCTTCTAAGGAATTGTTATCCCTTATCCTTGATCGTCTGTATTATCAGATTGTTTCCTAAACTATGCACTTATCTTTTTATGATTTAATCATGCTGTAGGAAGGGTACATATGGAGAGAGCATACAGGGAGCTATCTAATTAGCTGATTTTAATTTGGATTGTATATCTAGCCTTTGTTTTTAATGAATGTAATTAAAATTAACTCTTTTATATGAATTTCTTTGTGGAGTAAGTTCCTTTGGTGCTCTCAAAACCCCACTTTCTGTCCTTGTCGAATTTAAATTCTAGGGGTGTGGCACCTACTATTCGGACCCAGATCGAAAACCATCGTCTATATGTTCTTAATCAGTTGTAGTAGCTGTCATGCATTAAAGTAAACATTTACCCCCTTTCACTAAAAATCACATCAGCTTGTAGCTCTGCATACTGATATGAAATTATCTTACATTCATTAGTTAAACAAACATTTTTGCTTTGACTTAAAATTACTGTTTCTTTACATCCTGGTTGAGTGAGGCACTGGGGATGTAGCCTTGGCCTCACAGATTAGAAGGCTGCATCACCAGTGCTATCTGGAAACTGCAAAATCTCACAAGATCTCAGGGAAAAGGCATTTCCTCTAGCTTAGTGAATGTGATGAAAATCCATTTTGTAAAGAATACCCAATCCCCTGCTCGCTATTAGATGATGGAAGTCAGCAGATTGTCCCCTCATACACAAAGCTAAGTGACAAATTGCCTTGCAAAATGAACAGCCTATTGGCCTTTAGTAAATCAACCCCACTGCCCCATAGCAAAAAAGCAAGTATAGTATAATGCGTTTACTAGCAACTTGCTCTTTTTGCATCAGTGGCTCACTTACAAGTGAAGACAGAAGATTAGTATGACAATCAGGGAATTTTTGGGCATTTAAAGAAAACATCAAAACAATCTTTAAACTCTAGGACACTATCTTCATTCACTCTGTTCTCTGCAGTCTTCGAATCTTCTTGTGCGGTTGCAATAAAATCATGTAACATTTTGGAATAAATATACATATGAGAAGACCATAACAGGAAAAGAGGATTGCAAACATTTCTACTGCATCTAGATATTTTCCTGAAGTACTCAGATAGGTGGGAATAAATGTTATCCATACAGCAGAGACAGTCACCATGCTGAAGGTAATGAGTTTAGCTTCATTATAATGATAGGGCAAGTTCCGGGCACAAAAAGCCAGAGTGAAACATACACACACCAGGAGCCCAATATAGCCCAGCACTAGAGAAAAGGCCAACAGTGAGCCAGCATCACACTGTAAAATAATCGCAGGACTGTCAAAAGTGGTTTTCCTCACGGGCTGTGGAGGAGACAATATATTCCAGACAGCACAAACAACAATCTGAAACAAATTACATAGAGAAATAAAGACTTTTTGTTTTATAGGACTAAATAGCAAAGCTGCTTTCCTGTCAGGATGCTGCACATTAAATGCCACAATTACAACAATGGTTTTACCCAAAATACAGGAGATGCAGAAGGTAAATGTAATGCCAAATCCAGTATTTCTCATCAGACAAGTCATAGTCGATGGTTGTCCCAGATAAGTGATGGAAGACAGTAAGCACAGGACAATAGAGAATAGAGCGCAAAAACTGAGGTGGGAATTGTTGGCACGCACAACTGGATTATATCGGTGGTATATGAAGATGACAATGATGCTTGTTGCAAGAAAGATACCAAGCAACGCCCCTCCAAACAGCACTGATCCCAATGTTTCCTTGAAGGAAATATACTCCAGCTCTTTTGGGACACAAGAATCTTTCTGTGTATTAGGCCAGTACTCTAGAGGACATTGCAGACATTCCAGTGAATCTATGTGCACAAACAGGAAAAGACTTGGTTACAAAGTGCCTTCTAGTGATCAGCTAACTCAATACAGACATAAAATAATATGAAGTCTAATTGATTAGTTGGGGTGTTGTAAGTATCCCAAAAGACTTGAGGCACACGGGGGCAAGAAAAATGTTTTTGGATTTGCAGTATACAATAATAAGGAGTGTCTAAGGCTGATTTTTATGTCATAGCATCTATTCTCTGTTCTTTCTTGGTTTCCCTCACTTTCCCCTTGTTGCATCTTTTTAAATAGGGCGTACAAGGGTAAATTATCACATGAAGGTTTGTATGAAAATCCCATCAGGATGAGCGATAGTACCATCAGGGGCTTGGCAATAGTCATTTAAAATTTCATTTGATTTTTATATTGGAAATTTTTCATCTTCAATTTTTTCATCATCATCGATTTCACCAAATCAACATTTAGAAAGTCGAATTAACGTTCCAAAATCAATTTTGTTCATTCAAAATTCTATCTGTGTATACCCGACTTTAGAACTGAACCATTAGTGTCATAATCCTTATCAGAGATGGATTAGGACCTTAATACCATATAGTGTGTATTTCTAATTAAGCCATATACACATAAATTGATATTCAAATTACAGAAAACTGCTATAGATTAAATGTGGGCCTAATAATATAAACTTTTTTCAAAAAAACTAAAAATTGGACTAAAAACTGTGCTGTCATACATATGATATGGTTAAATCAAAATTATATTAATATGTATGTAAATTCAAAAGTAGAAAGACATAATTATGTTCATGCAAAGACTTTGCATTCTTCTCAATAGTCAATAAAGAGAACCTTTGCTGAAAGGAAGTTTTCCAATGTGATCACCTGTCTGTGCTCTCCTCCGTCACCAACGTTCCTATCTTTGTTCTGATCTTCTTTCAGGTTCTGAGTATTCAGCAGCTTGATTGGCTAGGTTCAGATACAGTAACTCTCGGTAAAAAAATATACCTGGAGTTATGCAATTTTTGGCTCAGTGTATTGCAACAAAAAGTGCTGACTGGCAGGTAGGAGCATCTATGGCAGTAAAGACTTACACAGTCCCTTCTGTGATAAAAAGCCCGCCTCTCAACACTATTCAAAAAAGATCTTACTTCCACTTTAAGGCCCAGGGCTCACACCCTAGGTGCCAGCCTAGGGTCTAATAATTATCTCAATTATTAGAATATTGTTTTTAATAGTCACAAAATACAAGGATCAGTCACTAAATATACAAGGATATGGGAAGTGTTAAATACATAAACACACGCACACATAGGTTGAACTGGATGGAAATTGTCTTTATTCATCCTCACCTACTATGTTACTATGTTACTTATATCTTTGCAATTAGTTAATCAAGCAATGCTGACAATCAATTGTTCCCCTTGCCTTGACCTTGCAGTCAGGTAAAGATTTTTTAGCCATACTTTAAAATAATTCAAATTCAATAATTCAAAGAAACAGAAAGTATTTTTGGAATAGAACAAAACGAAACAGCTATTTGTTTCTGATTGGCTGGTTTGTTCCAATCATTAGCCAATAGCTACTTGTATTAGTTTGTTAATGGCTTTTTTTGGCTGAGCATACAGTTTGTTATTGTCTTAATCTAGCACACTTTAATTTGCTCACACTAACTATATTTTAAAATGTTTTCTGCAAACCAGATATGCAAAAGTCTAAATGTTCACTGTTGTGGGTATGATAGGTTGGTTTTTTTAAAATGAATAAATGGGGTAAGAGAAAAGGCACGGGGCCGTGATTGAGTGGCATTCCAGACAATATAGTGCTTTTCGTCCTCTCTTTTCATGGCTAGATAAGTAATGGTGAAGGGTCAGTTTACTATCCAATCAAGCATAAGTACTAGTATTTTTCATTGGTTATGACTTATTTTTCACCTGTTATTAAGAAGAAATCAAGAAATTTTAGATATGAAATAGCCATATATGTAGAGGTTATTGATATTATTATGTAATTTATGGAATTGTATGTGAAATGAAACAAATAAAAATGTATTCTTGAAAAAATAAATGTTCACTGTTGAATGAGCCAAGTAGGATACAGGTGACTTGTAATTGATCAAAGAATCTCACTAAGAAAAGCAGCATGATCATAGACAATTAGACAATGAAAATCAAGTTAGTTTGTCTGTTGATACATTGAATACTGTTTACTAACAATTACTTTTGTTTTAAGTGGCACAGATGAAGGTAAAGTAATATTAGAGTCAACAGGTTTTTAAACAGTTTAAAATGCTGATTAAATCATTTTCAAATGATGCTGCTTCTTGATCTTTAAAGGTTTTAGTTCCCTGCAGAATCAGCTGGTCCCCTTAGCATTGGCCCTGATATCCAGTTTTAGGGTGTCTCCTTTCCTTGCAGGGTCCTATGGCGCCACCGTTGTGTGTGCTAGCTAGCTGCGTGTATCTCCACAAACACACAGGGACAGCAAGGCAAGACACTCCCCTGCTCACAGCTCCTTCTCCCTTCTCTAAGCTAGTAGATGGGCAGCTGCTGGAGACTGCTCTGTCCCTTATGATCTTATACTGGACAGGAAGTTCTGGGAAGTGGAGCTGAGGGAGTTGGAGTTAGCTGTTCGGAAACATGATGACTGTAAGTGATTGGGCAAAAATGTAAAGAAATACTTTTCTGAGCAATGTTTTATTTTTCTGATCCATATTCATTATTAAATACAGTTTGAGAGTTTAATACCACTTTAAATCTAGAGATGATAAATGTTCACTGTGAATGTTGTCAAAAGAACAATTGTACCTTTCTCAGTTTATTATAAAATTGATATGAGAGCGTTAACAATGACATATTGGAGCCAAGCTGCGCGCAACACAGGATATTGTGAATGGGACGATAAGAAAAAAAATATTAATTTGTCAAATTATTTTGCATGCTAAATGCAAGCCTATCTCTGACGGTTTCAGAACTCTGCTACCTCATTCCTAAAACTCATTAGGAAATTTGACTCTGTTGAGGCACACAGCTACTTTACAAGCTGCACTATATTAAAATCAGTCGTGCATGAGAGATCCAAGGCAAATTATTTTCCATTGTATACTGCGTTAAATTTAAATGGCTATGATGAATAAATATAGAAAATAATTTACATGCAAAATTAAGTAAAAATATTATGGTAAATGAGTTGCTGGTAACCTCTGGCATTTGTTGCTCAGCTAATAGACCAAACATTGATTGTATGTATGCAGGAAACAAGAAAACTCGGTAGCTGTAGAAAAACAATACGCTGGTTCACTGCTTTTTAATTAGAAAATCTATGGTCAAGATATAACTGCAACAGGCACAGAGGGTGGAACCATTCCAATGCTATGAGATCAGGGGTCCAAATACTGCAGTCCTGACAGCTGGGTATTCATATTACCCTATTCTTATCTTTTTGTTTTCTAGTAGGATTACTAGTGTTACCAAACAGGAAACGACCTCCATTTATTAAAAATAACCAGCAAAAATGCTGAACAAGACAGTCAAGGGGTTCTGGAAATGTATAGAACCAGGCACCAGGACTTTGCATTCTGTTACTGCTCTAGTCAATAATGTGGTTTTCTCTTTCTGCATAATAAACACATAGCCGTACATCTGACCCAGAATTAGAAGCCCACATTGTCCTGCTGGGAATTGATTTTCAACATACCACAATATGACATATATCTGTTGGGGATTTGTCTTACCCTTGTTGATGTTAATTAATTGCTCTGATATGTATAACACCACACCCTTGAGTGTTATGTGTTTAAAAGGTGACTGCAGTTGGCCAACATAAAATAAGGCTCAGAGAGCTTCTGGCTGCTTTGCAAAAAATAACCTACCTCACTTACAGACTTGAAGACCACTGATGCTATATTAGTGCTGGGATGTTCCAAAAAACTGAAGATAAGTGGGTGGGTCTACCTGGGGCTGCCTGGTACAGAATGAAAGCTAGCCTAAAGCTGGACATACACTAATCAAATGTTGGATGCTTCATACTGAATAGGCCAAAATTTGATCTTGCAACAGCAAGGAAGGAATCGGGGGGAAAATTGTCAGTGATTGCACCAAGCAGCTAAAGTCACTGTACAGGTATTCTGACAGCCGCAAGCACTGACTGTCACAATACAGTGACTGGCAGGGGAGATCCCTCCATCCACAATCTTTGGAGAAGATGGGGGAGTCGAGTGATTAGAGTGCAAGGCTAAGTTAAGACAATTCCTACCATCTCTCTTTGAGTTGCAGACACAAGCCTATTCATGGGTGTCTGCAGGTACTTAGTTGATTAGAGGGCAGCTCACATCTGCTTGGTGGAAAATTTGTGTTTGCCAACATAAAGTTAAAGTCATCTAGTTTAAATGTCTGTGCATATACCCTCTAGATCAGTTGATGGCATGTAGCCACCTAGCCCTAAGTAGGGTGACTCCTAAAATGTACTTCTGTGGGACTGTATGCTGGACTGTATTCTACCTGATTTGATTGTCTGCGCTCATTTGGTTTTCCCTAAGCACTCTATTATTGTTTGACTCAGCCTGCTGCTGAGTGTGACCTTGCCACAGAGCAGAGCAACCAATAATGTGGTATTATGAATATCTGTGTCTCCCTAGCCAATCACTAGGAAGTTCATGGCCAGTGATGCATGCTGGGGGAGAGCATAAATATTCAGGGCTGACCTTGTGAGAGTCTCATTCCCCCTAGTCCTCCTGCCTGGGGAAGGGTGCGGAAGTTATGTGCTCTCTGATCAGCCCTACGGCCTGTAGGTGGTCTAGTATGGACACAGTCAGAGTCTGAATCTGTTCCTGGGATGGAGAACCAGGGAGTAACTTAATTTGCTGGAGGTGCCAGAGAAGCCAGGATGGACTTGGACCTCACAGGAAGTCTGGTGTCTTGCATAACGAATTCTGTGCTTTATCTGCTAACAGGCTAAGGTTCTACAATACACAGTGCTACTGCAATCAGTTTCTCTGCACTGTGAAGCTGGGAAGTGGTTGGTGAGCCTGGAGTTCTGCACTGTCCTAGATGTCTGTAGCCCTTAACACTCTCACTTATTGAGTTGCTAATCAAATAAAATCTTTAAATTGACTGGCGCCCAACAATCCCTGAGACAAAATGTCAGCCCACCCTGTCTCTGAAGTACCCCACATGCTCTTAGAGGTCAGGGGCATGTTACAATTATTATTATTGGCTATTATGTAGAACTAACCTGTTTGATTACTTATCTTGCCTTCTTCACACATGACACAGTCGAAACAACATGAATATTTCCCCTGTCCAGCTTTTCTGCTTCCAGGAGGGCAGCTTATACTGCACAAAGACACTGGTATCTGCAAATGGGATGAAACATAATATTTGAGCACATTTTACAGTAGATCTATCTCTATATTACTATATATTTTACAAAAAAAATGCACAAGTGTGCTTTGGGGGATTGAATGGGGGTTTTCAGTGTTTTTAGCATGGATTGTTTGTAGGATACAGAGTGTTCTGGATTTGTATACAGGTTTTTTTATGTGAGATTTCCAATAAAGATAGATACATTTTACTTTAATTGACTTCTTTATTCAACAAATTCACAGGTAACTATAACCCCATCCAGGGGCATGTTTGTATTTTTGTTTATTGCAATATTTATTGTTGTAAAACATTGTTGGCACTATAATTATGTTATGATGGAAGAGCCTTCATATAACTACACATGTATGCAGTTACATGCAGACCTCAGCATCTACTATGGGTTTAGAGGAGATGTATATTTTTATTGAGTGGAAGCTGTGGGTATGGCAATGGTTTTAGTAACATGCACTTGTATGAACCAGACGCAGTTCTATTCTAGCTACCAAATTTCAGGACGATTTAGCCCCAGTATTAAAGTGAAAGTACAACGTAGCTTAGGAGAGGTTATTAGTTATTAAATCATGGCATCTTATATTGTCTGTTCTTAGGAGGTATCAA